GCAATTTTTTGACAGCCGTCTTAGAAGCTACTATATAAATGCCAGTGGCTTAGAGGCTCTTTCTTTGCTCCCTACATGAATTAAAATTTAGAATTTGTAGATGATTTTTATAATTACATAGATGAGAGAAGAGATTGTTTTTACTCTTAGAATGGAGATAATAAATATAAGGGAACATGATAAAGTAGTGAATAATACAGAGAAAGTACATCAGGACCTTCAGGAACGCCTTCAGAAATAAACTTTATTTACAGCTTTATAATCTGTCCCCCTCCAAGTTATCTACCATGTCACCTGTACACTGCAAAGGAACTGGGTGTAACCCAAGGGAGAAATAAAATCTTGCTGATGGGCTTGCTGATGTGCATTGGTTGTCTAGCTGTCCAGGGAATGACAGATGTAACCTATGAGGAAAAAAAAATACGGAAGAAGACGCAAATATCATTTAGAGATGTATCAGAGATGCAACTTCCAATCATGTCCTTTCTAGGGAAGTCTTTGTGGAAATGCTAAGGTTAAAAGGGTATTTCAGTAAATTTGCTGATTCCAGGCAGAATCAGACTGGTGTTACAAAATTTCGGTCAGCTTTTTAAAAATTTATATTAAAATGGTTTTTAGATAGTTAGATGTGTTTGATTGTAGGGCTTCATTGTAGTTTATAATACATGAGGGTCAGATGAAAACATGACTCTTCTCACATTTGTCAGTTCAAATGTGAGTTTAGATTCTGCCCTAGCACAGAAATTTTTTCTTTTTAAAAAAACAAACCAAAAGAACCCCACCAAAACCAAACAACAGCCAAAAACCCCTAAGTTAGTTGTTCTCTTAATATAAGAAAGCTGTTAATGTTAGGAAGCGAGTTTATAATGAAGCTGTTTAGTCAAATGGTGCAATTTAAGATGTTTAGCAGGTACATAGATATCAAACAGGAAAGAAATAAGTTGGAACTGAAGATGAAGTAATTATTGTGACTATTCCATTTGAGTAAGATCTGTGTGAATGCAGAGTGCTGCACGATGGAGAAACGATTTTCGTGACTTGACCTTGCATTATAAAATTCTGGGGGAGGCAATCTCTCACCAGTATCTCTGAGCGACTGCGGTTGGGTACCAGGTTGCTATGGTAACAGATGAAGGCTTGCCTGGTTAAACTTCCTCTAAGCACAATGGTATTTTCAGTCTGGGGCTTCAAATAAGACCTATCATCTTTGCTTCTTTGTTGTTTGCATTAATTATCTACCGATCAATTCTCTGAGCAGAACTGTGGGTGAGGCTGCTTAACCATATGTTTTCTGCCGTACCCGTTTGGCTCGCTCTTGCCCCTTACAGAAGGCTGACCCGCAGTGCAAACTGGACCCAATCACCGTCCTCTGCGAAGTGATGGAAAAAGTGGTTGAGCTTTTATATTGCAGTTTGGATCTGATTCTGTTGAAATGCTCCTGGAGAGGAGGGGAAGGTGCCACTGCTTGACAAAACGTTGTGCAGGAAATGAGAGTAATAACAGCATCAGTCGTGGTTATGGATGAACTTTTACATTTGAATGTGCCTGGTCGCCTCACTTGTGGGGACCGGGGGCAATATTAAAGATCGCTGCCTTTTGTTAGTGGTGTGCAAGAGAGTGAGAGGTAAGCCAGTGCTGAGATGTGAAACTTGTCAAGGGTTAAATTTCTCAAGAGGAGGTCTTATATCATGTATGACAGATTTTTCCAGGCTTTGCTTCACAGGCTTTATGCGTGCCCTGTTCATGGCAATTGGAGTATTAAGCACAGAGAAGCCACTCTGACTCTTACCCAGAAAAGAGGTTGTGGTTCGTAGGAGTTTCCTGCGGCAATTTTTAGTTTCTGAAAAGCAAACCTCAACCTCGTGCCCCAATATTCATGTGCTAGTATTAATTTCCATTTTAATATGTTTTTGTTACTGTTCTGGTGCCTTATCTGTCCTGGTATCATTTTGTCTCAGAGCTCTCCCTCCGCAGCATCCAGTCCTCTCGCTGTTATTGCAGTAACAGTCCAAGGGCCCATTTGGGGTCTTGGGTCCAGCTCCAGGGAACAGGTATGGGGTGATGTGACAGTGCTGTGATTCCAAATGTGTCAGATATCAAAACCAGCAACATTCCTACTTGTCAATATTGCACTTAATGTGATATCTGTGACAGCAGTCTTGCCTTATCCTGTGCTATGAGACCTAATTTAGTGCTTTGCTGTGCCATCTGATCCCTCCTGAGCCTCTGCCTTCGCTTTTTCCACCTTTTTCCCCAGTTACACGTTTGTGATGAGGGAGAGGAGGAGCTAGAGGTTGGCTATGTTCCCCACCTTTGTCAGCAATGATCTGCATAATTTCTCCAGCAAACTTTGGACCAGAACAGAGCTATTACGTAGGTGAGAGAAGGGGGTGGACCACCAGCCCTTGAAAAGAAGTGGTCAGGTGGTGCTTAGTTTGGGAACCCTGTAGACTGCAACTTCCACCGTAGAGTCAAGCCCCAAGGACACATCCCTTGTCCTGCCGAGATCTGATCTGCTGGAGGATGGGTGTGGGCAGTGAGATATTAATGAGCTCCATCCTCCCCTTGGCACTGGTTTGGGTTTTTGTATTTGCATCAGGAAAGAGTAAAATGTTACCCATCTCTAACAGGTACACCTGTTAATGTGTGGAGGCGGGGGGGGGAAGGTGGCACCTGCCCCAAAATAAAGAGCAGGGAGTAAATAGTAGGTAGGTACAATAGGGTGGATGGAAGGTGCAGAAGGAAACAAGGAGGTGGTGTCTGGGCTGAACACTGAGTCGACTGCGTTTCAATTGAGTCTAGAGAGCTATCCTTTGATAAGCTTCTCTGTCTATTCAGCTCTTGGGAATAAACTGCCTTTGTTCCCAGCTGTACTGAAATGTTTATTCATTAGATTTTAATAAAGAAAGTCAAATCTCATATTCCTTAATCAGTGTTGGTAACTGAATATTATTAATTAGTCATTATCTGTTAGCATGATAAGCCAACAGCAGCCTGCAGTGACAACAGCCTTCAGATTATGTATTCATTCTGTGAATTATTAATAACTACTATTGATCCTCTCCCAACTGATGAATTTGTCCTTTTTGAAGAGCGACCTTTTTCTTTCTTTAACTGGTAAACTATATTTATTTAGGAGTTTTGTTACCTCTTTTCCCTTCAGGAGCCAATCTCTTTTGCAAGTTATTTGAAGGGGTGGTCTGTGTTTGCATACCATGACTGTTTTCTGTATTTTGTTCTTCCTTGGTATCTTCAAATATTTGTGAGTGTAGTCAAGGCCACTCATCCAACCAGATGTTTTTGCAATATGATTTCCTCAATCTGTAAGTATGGAAAGACCTTTATCAGTGTCATTACGGTTTTCTTACTAACACTTAGTGAAAAGCCTAAGATAAATAAGCTCATGAAGGTAGAAATAAAAGCAGGACAGTATGATCTTTTAATGGAAATGTCTGCTGCTTTTCTTCAGAAAATGTCAGATCCTTTAGATAGATAGGTCTACACCATTGGGGCTTTTTGTGTGGTTTTTTGCCCTTTTTTTTTTGTTTTGGGGTTTTTTTGTGTTGTTTTTGTTTTACAGATGGGGAAGCGAAGAGCTTAAGTGATTTAACCAGCACAGTGCAGCAGATGCACTGCAGTGCTGGGAACAGGACCTGGTTCTCACTAATTGATGACCAGGATGTTCTGTAGCACCTTCAGTAGCTCTCATTAATATTATTTCTCTATCCAGGGCTGCTATCTTTTCTTCATTATCATTTCATTTGGTCCTGCCATGCTAGCTTTGGGCATTTGTGTTTCCTGCCAGTGCTTTTGCCATTTCTTCCATGGCTACCTTATGCTTGGAACAATCTGCTTGGATGACTCCTTCTGAAAAACTATGTGTACCAGGAGACAGAGAGGAAACTCATTGCCTTCTGATGGTGACAAGGCAGAGAGCCAGGAAGGATAGCTAAATTATGATGTATGAGTGTGGCTTCTAGCCTGGCCTGTCCTGAACTTTGTTCAATGCATCCTGTTGGTTCAGGAGGATGACACAACCCTCTAGAATGTAAATCTTGTCATCCCACTAGAAATTGACTCACATGTGACCAAAAAATGAACCTCAATTTAGACAAATCTCAGTTTGTGTGCTGAAGTAAAAGGCAAAGATGATCTTAAGAAGTTGAGAGGTTGCAAACTGTATTCCCTCCGTGTTATTCACCCTTTCTAGTTCCCTTTGTTCCCATAGCGGCTTGGCACACTTGCTGCAGGGCCTGATGCTAATATTTTCCTCTGCAATTATGAGGATTTATGGCATCAGAACTCAAATGAGATGTTCCCTCCTGTATTCCCATTGTTCCCTCTCTTGGTGTCTCAGCTTCAAGAATTGCAAGATGAAAGTAAAAGTGTATGGAGAAAATGGATGAGGAATGAAACAATTTTTTAGGTAGACTTACCCATATTTTTTGTTCTTGTTGCCCCACGCAAGGTGACTTCTGAGTCAGACCATGTGTTCTCCAGGAGAAAAAACCTGTGACCTGACTGTGTGGGAACTTTGCTAATGTACTTTAAAATACTCAGAGCTGGAAAGCAGATATATACAACAAGCTTTAGAAAAACTTTGGAAATTTAGGATAGTCCTAATAAAACTTCAGTTCTTCCTTTTTTTGTTGGGGTTATGAGAGATGATGTGCTGATGTTAGAAAACAGAAAGCTGTCCTCCCCAAGTTCTCTGTCTGGCTGGATGACTATCATAACAAGTGCTGGCTTATGCATCAGAAGAGCTGAGCGTGTGGTGCAAAAGGTGCTCAGCCCATGCAAAATTTGACCGCAAACTGTTTTAATATGTGGCTTTGGCTCCATTTCATGATTATTGCTTTTTTTTAATTCCATCCCACCCCCCGCCTCTGGCAAAGTGTTTGAATGAAAAATTCAGCATTTTGGATGGATAGCTGCGTGAGTGTTTACATGTCAAGTTACAAAAGCTGTGGCGTGCATATATAGAAGTATTTTTTAATTAGTTTTATTTTTATCTTTCAGGTCTGTCAGCAGCCAAACTGCTGACTGAGTCAGGCTTGAATGTGGTGTTGCTGGAAGCCAATGACAGGGTTGGTGGAAGAACTTTCACTGTCAGGGTAATTATCTCCAAAATCATTTATACTACAGACATATGCATATAGTATCTACTATACATGTGTATAATTATATGTATGTATAGTATGTATGTATAGTATACATATACTATATGAACAGTGTACATGAATGTATTTATTTATCTTTCCTGCTAGAGGACCTACTTGAAGGAAAATTTCTAAAGCACTAGCAGGTGGGAAACTTCCTGATATTGTACCAGCTAGAGTAGGGAAGGACTGGCATGATGGTGGGGACAGAACATTTCCATATGGTCTGCAGGCTCTGGAAGTCCTTTCCTTTGGGAGGAAGAACATGATTAGCTAAGTTTCCAAATGATTTCCTGGAGAGAGAGACTGGAGAAATCTCTATGAAAAAACACCCGTAAGGCGAGTCATGCTGTGAAGAGCCTTGAGCTGAACCGTAACAAGGCCTGTGAGGAGTGATGTAGGCTAGAGGAATGGCAGGGGTGGCCAGGAACTAGAACTAGCATGTCTCCTTTCACTCCTTTACCTTTTGCCCTGCCTTGACCTGGGAAACCCCCTGCCACTCTGCTCATTAGAAAAATCTTATCTATGCTACTTCCTAGTACAGTCTGTTTTGAACGAGTCATTGGCGAGATGCCTGACTGAGCAGGAACCGCACAGATGTCTCTGGCTCTCTCCTTCTCTCACTGCCTGTCGGGCTATTTCCTCTCGTGTTTGTTAAGGCTGTAATGTAACAACAGGCCAGCTAAGGTGGTTATGAATGCCTTATCAGGGATTCTCAGTAATCGCCACACCAGAACTCTACCAAAGAATTGAAGTTTTCCATGGGAAGAGGAGTCTTGGCCAAAATGCTCTAGGACTGTTTCATTTAAAGAATTCCTCTAGATTGCTTTTTTAACTTGTGTGCTATTTACCAAGGGCTTATCTTTTTTTAATCCTTTTTTTTTCTTTTTCCCCCTTTTGTGTGTTGTGTGTGGTAAACTAGAATAAGCAAGTTAAATATGTGGACCTTGGAGGAGCTTACGTGGGGCCAACACAAAATCGTATCCTGCGGTTATCTAAAGAGTTAGGAATAGAGACATACAAAGTGAATGAAGTTGAGCGCCTGATACACCATGTCAAGGTAAGATGCTCTCAAGCATACTGCTGTAGATAGGCAAGTTGTAGTGGTCTCCTTTCTTGTTGTTTTCCATCCATGCTACAGTGGAGTATACTTGTTTAAGTATGCATCATTTAAATTTCTTGGAGAAAAATAAGTATGTTGGTAATGAAGAACTCCTACAAATTGCTATGTGCATGCATATCTACATGTGTACCCTGTAGATGCATCCTGTTAGCTGATGCCTTGGTTCAGGTCTGAGCTCTTAGTTAAAAGCTCGGAAAGCTTCATTGTTTGAGCAGTACAACTGTGACTCTTCTGTACAGGTCAGCTCTCATATGCACTGCCCAAGGTGTCTGAAGGTCCCTTTCAGAAGTCCTTGAGGTATCTTCAGTCAGGCTGGAAGTTTCTCAGGCTGGGTTTTCTAAACCAGTGACAGTTGTTATCCTGACTGAAAGAAATGTGAGAGGTTAAGTCTGGTTTTGCTGATGGGGAAACTAACATACAGAGTAGCAAAAGCCTTTGCAATAGTAATTGCAGAAGGCTCTGGGAGTCAAGTGTTCTTGTGGAGGCAGATCTAAGCGATCTGTTCACAATGTGAAACAGGACAGCTATGGCAAAACTGTTAAAAAGCCCACGTGTTCTCAGCATTCAAGCTATGCTTTCTCCAAAAGAGGATCCTTTCTCCTTTCCTGATATAGAGCGGTGTTGCACTCCCACAGAAGGGAGACTTTCTATGTTAGTCCTGAGGAAATTAGCACCGAGTTTCGTTATATGTTTATGAAGAGCCTTTGTGCAATGACTGGCAAAATATTTGTCAGGTAGTAGTTGGTGTTTGATCAAAGGTTAAAGAAAACATTGAGAGATTTTAAAACAGCAATAGAGAAAAGGTGTTCTGTCATGTGTTTTCCAATATTTTTTCCACTTACTTGTTATAAAAAAGTGCGTTCTCAAAGTGATTTACTGTGGTGACTGTCCACGACTACTTCTGCTGTGGTAGAACTGATGAGTACATCCATACTGTTCTGTTCCATGTGCCTCTGGCATCATCCTCAAAGCCAAATTTTCTCCTTGTTCACACTATTTAGCCTTCAGAGTCTCCTCAACAGCAACAGGAGGTCATGCCATGAGGGGAAACCTTAATGGTAGAAGTCAATTGACACAGCCAGTCAGGATGACCAGCTCTCAGGACAACATTGCTGTCCTAGCATGGGGGCATTCCAAAATGCTGCCAAAAGTCACTGAAGCCAAAGCTGAGGCTGACATGTGGGCCACATTTATTGTCAGCAGCTGGTCAAGTAAGCCAGACTCCATTTTCTTTTATGATCTCTAGGAACCAGCTTGTGGGGGGATACTGGTACTACTATCCCGGTTGAAATAGCCTTTTGTTTTCCAACAGACTTTTGGAGTGAGGAAAACAGAGAATGGCACAAAAGTAGATTGTCCTTGGCAAGAGCCCAAACTTCTGTTTTTGCCTTGACCAGAAGTGTCTTATCACATGAGTTGCCAAAGGTTGCACATAGCCTTTTACTGTTGATACCTTTTAGCCCAGGGTGGTGACTGCTGGTTTGAGTTACGGCTCTCAGCTTTCTTCCCTGCCCAGCACTCATAGGACTCGCTAGCATTTGGGGACGTATCCCAGGCTGGCAGAGAGGCGAATGCCTTGGCTTTGTCTGTGTTGGGCCTAGAAATGACCTTGAATTGGGACACTAAGGCATTAGGACACAAGTCCAGGGACTTGTATCCAGAAATCCAGAGTTGGGGGAAGCCACTCTGCTCTTGGAGACATTCAAGACGTCCCAGCCTGGAGATATGAGGTACTTGCTACTTTGGTTAATGCCTGCATATGTGCAAACAGATCCTGGGGGAGCTGTGAGGAAGGCTGAGGTCCTGGGCTTGCTCCAGCACTCATGTGCCTGTGCGAAGACCCACTGAGAGATGCTCATAGATGACAGGTTATGCCCTTAATGGAGCACCCATGGCAATTTGATGCAGGCAAGTGGCTCGGTCTGAGCACTGGCAGGCATGTGTGAGATTGGCACTATGCCTTATGCAGAGCCATGGAAGAAGCTGCCCTGGAAGGGACCCTTGGAGGTTCCTACTCCACTCTGGGCTTGGAGCAGTGTCTGCCTCATAGTTAGGGCAGGTTGCTTGGGGCCATTCCCAGTCAAGTGTTGAAAGTCTCCAGGGAGAGAGATCCCAGCTGCTGGCTGGGGTGCTCCCAAGGCATGCTAAGAGCCTGCACACTGGATTTGGACACACTTTGTAGGCTCAGGCTCCCAACGTGACTGCCTGTAGGAGAGCTCCTGGAGAGAGGAGGGAGAGAAGTGTATGCCAGCACTCTCTGGTAGCTGAGCAGGAGGTAGAGAGAGATGTTCCACAGTCAGTAGCACCTCCTTTAAAGCTCCTAATTTAATTAATTTTAAATCTTATTTCCTTTTTGCTTCTGTGTTTATACAACTGTGGAAAAGTATTAACAGTTGAAGAATTACTTGCAATTAAATAACTGGAACATGAGCGCTGTATAGTAGACACATGCATTGTTGTGTGGCCAAATCGGCGTAATAATCTTCAGCCTTTTGCATTTCACGTGTCTGTAATACATTCCTTACAGGTCTCACGGCCATGTGGCTTGCCCATGCTTTCCCTGCAAATGGACGATGCTCTCCTGTCCTCCCTGAAATCTAAGCAGTACCCTTAAGTCATAGCTTGCAAACCGGATTCCAAAATATACAAAGGTCTGTCACCCCTCTGTGAATTGGAATTCACATGCTGACCCAAGCTTTGTGACTGTTGCCATATTTAATTAAATTCTAGACCACAAAATTCTCTGAGCCCAGAGAGGCAATGGAAACCTAGAAGTTTTAATGCTTCTTGTGCTACACAATCAGGCATCACAGTGCATCTTGTAAAATCAGCTGCTGTATTTACGTATACCCAAAGGCAAAATCAAGCCTTTCATAGTTAATTAAATTCATTTTAGAGGCTTTTTAATACAAGTAATATATGCAGCTTCTTTGTACTACAAAATGAAAAGAGTGCATTTTGTTGATCTCTGGGTGGGTCTCTGCTAATTAGGCGTTACCAACTTGATTAGGTTGTGTGGTTTTTCCCCTTTAATCTTTTTTAATGTCAGGTTCTATTGTGAGATTATTTTTGGCCTCGCTTATATTGTGTGTGATATCTTCACAGAAACTCAAAATTATATTTCTTGCCCTACATTTTTTTTTCTTTCCCTCCACTTGTTAAGCAGTCTTTTTCATGGTCTTTGAAAGGAGATTAGTATGTTCTATTCATTTGTGTAAATACTGGTTCATCAACCTTAGTGAGAAAATTAGTATAGCTGTGAAAGTAGTATTTGGTAGGCAAATTCCTGCCTGAACGCCATTGCTTTTCAGTAGCATAACTGAAGTTAGGTTCGTAAATCCAGATTTAGGAAGGAAAAGCAGAACTATCTGAGAAGTCATCATCTCCTAACAGTCCTCCCATTGGACTGGTAGGCAGATGCAAAACACTCCTTAAAATAAGATAACTTTTCCTTAGCTGCCCAAGAGAGGATTCAGGGCCCTACCTTAGAAAGGTAGATTTCCAGCTTTTGACTGGTGGTGAGTTTTTTTCCTCACCAAAATGGCAGCTTTCTGTCTTAGAAAAATAAACCAAAATACATACTGTCCAGGCAATTTTACCCTGGAAAGCAGTGATGAAATATGAGAACATGTAAGTTACTGTGAGGGTTTAATTATCAACTGACTTTCTTCGTTAATTCAAACTGCACTTCGCTTTTGTGCAATCACAATAGCCATGCAAACTTCTTGCTTTTTAAAACACAAATTTACCAACGTTATCAAATGTAACGCAGGTTCCTTTGCCAACTAAGATAACTGTGGAACTGCTTTACTGTGCTGCCCTAAATCTGTGTAAAGAAACATTTCTTTGTATGACTGGTTTGCCAAATGAAACTTTTTAGAAGTTGACTCCTTCACATAGAGTAAGGATGATCTACTCTTTAGTGTACTGTGATGCCAGCCGAACATCCTCTGATTCCATTTTCGCTGATGGAGAGCTTGCATGAAAACCTGGCAATATAGACGGGTCAGCAAGACTCCTTACTGGCTACATTAGACCAACAAAGCTTGTTTCTCAAAATAGTCATTAGTCTGTCATAGATCCCCTTACTACCACTGATGCTCCTTGTCATTTTTTTCCAGATGTTTTTCCCACTTGAACTTTCTATGGGATAATGCCATGATCCTTCCTGGAATTTCCACAGATTGTAGCATCGTTTCTAGAAAAAGTGGTAGTAACACTTGTTCCTTGTAATCTCTGTGTTGTCTCAGTGCAGGCTGTGGATAGTGCTAACAGCTGGCTTAGCTAGCTGGGTATTTTGACAGTGTGTTGCACCTGAAACATTCCTCATGTGGTTATAATCCTGCTGCTTGTTTCTGTAGCACCACAAGATATGTTTGGCATTGTGCACATCCAGGGGGGTCTTTCAGGTGAAAATGCTGGGTGAAATGTGAAGCATCCCCTCCCTAATCACTAGACAGTTTCTTAACAACAACTTGCCAATACCTCACTACTTCAGTTAAGCTCCGTGTAAGAGGATGGAGTTTCCTCATATTCATCCATCTGCCGGCAGCACTGGCTAGAGGTGTGTGAATGCGTGTCATGCCCTCTTCAAGTTTAGCACCACTTTCATACAAGTATATACCATCAGCATCTCTGGGGAGAATGCTAATGTGATCCCTGTTTGCAGCACATCACTAAAGGTGAATATTTAGTCTTATACACGCGGTACCTTTAGCTAGGACCACGGATCTGCACTAATGTTACCAGGTTACATACTGATCTACAATAGATCTGCAGAAAAATATTTTACAGCCCTCTTGGGTGTCATTAATTTTCAGCACTATTGTGCTTATTAAAATGCGGTTTGCTGTGGTCTTGTTCATGAATAAAATATATGATGGTTATGTTGTATTGGGATTTAATTAGCAGCTGGGTAAGTGACTGCTGTATCTAAA